CCTTCTTCTCTCTCTCTCTCTCTCTCTCTCTCTCCCCTCTCTCTTCTTTTTTTGCAATCTATTCTTACTCTAATATATTTTTATAAGAAGAAAAATATTTTTCATAATATCGTTATTACTTTGATAAAATTTTTAAAGTTGCTTTTCATACACTCGTATATTCTTGTGTCAATAATATGCGAAACAAATAAACATATAATTAACATTATACTGTAGCTTTGACGTTGACAATGGAAGAGTACTTTTAAAATTTTTGAAACTTCTTTTCAACACATGAATGTGTTTTGTGTTAGTTCGATAGTAGTTTATTGGCAATAAAGCTCTACATTTTTTTATAAATATAACAGAAGAAACGAGGTGATACGCACATATATTTAAAATAACGTAAAATAAGATTTTTCTTTAATACATTAGCAATTAAATAAGACATTATTTTTATACAAAGTACATTAATACCAACAATCTTTAATATTTTCTGTTATCTTCGCAAAAATTAATATTTTTTTATTGTAGGAAGAAAGATATCAAACATATATTGAACAAACAGATTTTATAACTTTTCTTGAAATTAGCAGCACAGGTACGAGATAAAAATATGATTATAAGAATATTAAAAATAAAAATTTAGTTATAACTAAAAAAGAAATAAGAATGTTTTAACTGTAAGAACATCTATTTACGATTGCTACACAATCGTTGCACTTTATCAAAATTTAATAAATTTAACATCGGAGAGAAATAACATTTTTTTTTGGTCAAAGGAGCTAAGTACGTTATCTCTCTTTCCGTATCTTTTATTTTTGCACAATTGTCGTGCAAAATCCATTCGATCTACATAGAAATGGTTTAAGCTATCTTCTATTGGAAATAATTTATTATGCTTAAACATGAATCACAATTTTGTAAGTTAAACAATGCAATATTAAAAAAATGTGATATTTACTAAGTATAATAACATTATTATCTGAAAGAATAAAACATTTCGTCAGCGTGATTCTTATAAATCATCGTTTTGTCAGCAGAAAAATGTACTGGAATATTATAATTCATAAATTATGTGGGATATTTGGCAAATTAACTTTTATTCTATTTAGATTCAATTCAATTCAACGTACTTCATTTTTAATAATTATTTATTAATTTAAGTAAATAACTTATTTCGTCAATTATTAAATACCATTTATGTGAAAAAGTCAAATTATTGTAATATGATTTCGAATCACGCATTGAATGATCAACGTTATGACATACAAAAGCTATACAAGACAGTTTACGATTTGTGCAACATAGATAGAGTATTATTATAATATACGAAAATGATTTCTTTGATACATGATTTCTATATTGCCAGCTTGATAATCTTATAAATTTTTCTGTTGAAATATCCCATGTGGGAAATGACTACCGGCGAGATAATGGCCCAGTATCGATTTCTGGTACTGAGTATTGGCGCGTTACTAGATGCCAGTACTGATGTGATACTGGAGAAATACTGGGATGATAGAATTGGGTCAAGACTCGAATTACAGTACTACTTTGGTACAGAATTCCAGTATTGCTGCAGTACCGATTTCCATTATTGTTACGGTACCAATTTCCATTATTGTTACGGTATTAAATCAGTACCGATTCTCAACATAACAGTACTAAAAATCAGTACCAATCCCAATACAGTAACAGTTATTAAATATCTGTACCGATTTCAAATACTATTATAGTATACAAAAATCAATACTGATTCTTAATACTGTAACAATATTTAAGATCAGTATCAATTTCCAATAATTATTATCAATTTTTGTGCGCGATATTCACAAATTAAATTACAGTATTATTATTAGAATTATTTATTATACACATATAAAATCAATTAATTGACATTAATTAAATATATGAATAATTATAGTTATAACATAATTAATTAATTAATTCACATTTTTTTCCAACATTTTCTCTTTCTTTGCGACCTCCGCACCGATCTACTGCTCCCGAAAACCATCGACTCATGGAAGAATTTATTTCTCTTTCTTCCTTAGTTCCAAATTTACTTACGAGAATATCTATCAAATAATTTTTTATTCTTACATTATAAAATATATCAATTGATAATTAATATTAATTTAATAGAAGCTGAAATAACGCATACCCATAAGTAAACTATAAATTTTCGTTTTGCTGAAGTTTAATTTTTTTGTTTCATTTTTTTGTCGACCAAAAGCAGTAAATAATATCTGGACATCTTTAGTCATTACAGCTGATAAAGCATTATGTATAGCTTTTCTGTATGTTGAAGCTACATCAACATATTTCTCAAATAACGTACGCTGTAAAAAATATAAACCTATAAAATATTTTATTTATAAATTAAATAAAATATTAAAATAATCTAAAAAAATTAATTACCAAGGCATTTTTTTTCGTTAACGTCCATTGAGGCATCCAAAGTATCAAAATCATCTAATATAGATATCGGTAATGTAAAACCAATAATTTGTTTTAAAGCAGAAACTGGATTCATTTCATCTTTGTGTGATAAATTTAATAATAAATTGTTTTGTAATTCTTCAAATCCTTTCCGTATATCGTATAAAATACTTTTTTTTATGTTATCCATCTTTTTTTGTATAAGTACTTTTACTTGTTCATAGCAAGCATTAGCAATGACTTGAGTGCATTCTAAAATAGGAAAACAAATAAGTATTTATTAATTCTTAATTTATTAATTTATTTATTTATTAACTTATTTATTTATTTATTTATTTATTTATTTATTTATTATTTATTTATTTAGTTATTTATTATAAGAAAATCTAAGTTATATTATTGTAAAAGTTTTTTAAGTAATCTTAATTGTTAAATAATACTACACCATTATTTTCTATACAATTATTGTGTAATTTTGTTCTTTGCAATGGATTTAAATTTTCGGCTTTGTCAAAGAGAGAGAGAGTCGCTTTACGCTTGTTACTTTTTTTGGTTGTCAAATCTTGCATTGCAAATAAACTTTTGTTATTTTTAAAAGTAACGGATTCTGATGAACTGCTTGGAACGTCATTATCTACGAAATAAAAATATCAATTATAAATGTATAAATTTACGAATTTCAAACATGTTTACAAACAATAAATACCTTCTTCTATTTCCGTAATTTTTCTTTTACTAATTTTTTGACTTGAAAATGATTGAAATTCAAAATCACTGATTTTACTTGATTTATCTGATGCTGTATCTAACAATTCTTCAGCATCTATATCAGATACTTCACTTGAAAGTACAACAGTGTCTTCTGAAATGCGTGTCATACGACGTAGTCCCTGATCGAAATTATCTATAATATAACGTAAATAATTCAATGCATTTTTTATTTTACTTTTTTTAACTTGTACTTACTAGCATTTTTCATTAATTTAACAGGATATTTCTTCTATGTTAATTCTGGAGTTTTATTTTCTTTACTCCATTCACTTTATCGTACTCTAATTTTGGCGGATATTTGCAAAACCATGTGCGTTTAAGTTTTAATAACCATTCTTTTGGTACAAGATCTATACATAATTTTTTATCTTGACGCCGAATACTAGTAAAGCAGACGACTACGTGCGTAACATTATCACTTAGTTCAGTTCTATATAAATTACACGAATAATAAATTACGATTATTTTTCTTTATTGGTAAAAAAACTTTTAAGTCAATAATATTACGTATTTTATTTTGAAAATTAACAATAACATAATTACCAATAAATTGAAAAAATACGTGTACTCACAAATATGAAAAATCATTCATGGTTGATGCGAATTATAGCACTGCACTGCACTAGCCTTAGTAATACACTGGACTAAAATATAGTTTCACTTTTTGTCACGTAAATTAAAATATACAAGAAAAATATACAGTTATGAATTCTTTATTTGCTATCATAAGAGAATTTTTCTTTAAATAAATAATAATTTTTTCTAATTCACTAATTATATGTCAATCCTGCAATATAAAAATCGTGTACTTCGATGGATTACAATTTCTTATAACGTTTGGCAAAAGCACGTATGATTTCCCCCACATCGACACAAAATAATAAACATCAATGACTTTATGTATAGCAGTTTTGACATATGTTACAGAGCAGTACGTGTAGCAGTTGTCATATAAAACAGATAGCCACGGTTTACAATTCACATTCTTATCGTTTACAAGACGCTTTTAACATAGGAGAAGAAACAAGGTAATATTCACCTTACATTTAATTCAGCATCATCTTTATTGCATCAAATATTATGTTGTTTATTTTCAAAAATTTATATGATTTAAATGAATTTCAACATACATTTTATTACAGCTTCTATATCATAGCTATCATAGCTATCATTCTATATCACATTTATACTTTGCAGATCTTTTTCATATTGAAAAGACATATTAAGGTAACATTTTCTTTATAATTCTTTGAGATTATGAATAGAAACAGTAGAAATGTATAGAAATTATTTATTTGTCAAGAATAATAGAATTTGTTTAAGTAAAATTCAAAGTACACAACTTTGATTGAATAATATCTATAATTTCACTTTCCAGAAGGATTGTTCTGATATCACATAACACTTGATATTGTAAAATTCATATAATATCCTACCAATTTTGAATTGCGTTAGATTTTTACAATGATGCAAAATAAAGGTATCGTTCAGAAAGCATTAAGTAATATAGAACTTCATGAAGATTTGAATGAGATAAGATCGAAGATTGAAGACGAATCTTTGTACTGCTTTTTGTACTATTCTTTGACAATGCATACACTTTTTCGGAATCTAGTAAATGTAATTTTAAAAGAATATAAGTATATTCTTTTGCCAAAAGAGTTCGGTACATTACATCATCTTCAAGAGATTACATTATCCACACCTTATGACGTGAATACTACTCAATTTGCATGGGAATGGTTAGAGCAAGCTTCTATGAGAAATAACTTAAAATCTTTGAAAATAATGCATTATGGCGTAAGTTGCACTATCTACTTACTCAGATATTATGATATTAACAACTAATTAACAGAATAAAGTTTTTAAAAAATAAAAAAGTTGCTTAACATTTTCACCATTTATCGTTATATTATTGAATTATTTTGTTATTTACAGCTACCTGAATTACCTTTACAAATCACATGTTTGAAAAATCTACAGTTGTTAGACATAAGTGACAACAAAATTGAATTCTTACCAAAGGAGTTAGGTACCTTGTCTCACCTTGTATTTCTTAATCTCTCTTCTAATCATCTTGGGAGATCTCGTTGCAATACATGGGAATGGCTAGAGCAAGCTGCGGTTAGAAATAAAATGACACAATTACATTTGTCAAACAATCAGGTAAGACTTGCACTATTTATTTATCAAAACATCATAAATAGAACTGAAATTATTATAAAAAAATTAAAAGATTTATTTCTATTTGTTATCCACTAATAAATGATAAAGTTATTAATTATTTCTAGTTAACAGAATTATCACCACAAATTGGAAAGCTGAATGCTTTAACTATTTTAAAGCTTGACACAAATAAGTTAACATGTTTACCACAAAGTTTGGCATTTCTAAAAAATTTAAAAGAGCTTGATGTGTATAATAATGATTTGTTATATTTGCCAGGAAATATGGCACATTTATCGGTGTATATAGATGTTGATGAGAATCCATTTAATTGGAATGACAATGAAGACTATGAAGTGCCAAGTCTTTTCAATTGTTCAGCTGATGTTATCGAGAAATCTCGGTTTGTCGCTATTATTTTGATGTTTTTAATTATATTGAACTTGAATTTTGAAAAATATTATATGTATAAATCAAAATTGTTTTAATATTTGTATTAATTTTACCGATATTATAGGATGAAATACAAGAACAAATTACCAGGATCATTGATCAGATATTTGGATAATGAAAAATATTGCAACTTCTGTGGAACTCCATGTTTTCGTTATTATGAAAAGCGCTTCGTAAATTTCACTCAGTATTATGAAAGACTGTATGTTCAATTCCGTGGATCACCAAATATTATGAATGCAAGTTTTGAATGTTATGCTTGTTCATCAGAGTGTGCTAACATATTATTGTTTTAAGAAGACATAATTAATTTATTAGACTTAAAATTTACAACAGAATGTAATTTGTATAAAAATATCTGATATGACCAATTTTAAGACTTTTGAATTTCATAT